TATATATATATATAGATAAATCAGTATGTCCGCACATATATATTTATTTTTTAGTAGACATGTGGGACATTCCTGGTTGTGTGTACCCACAAATTATACTTCAAATCAGATACTTCGAGTAAGCTAATTGATTGAAGAACTAAAGTTCATACAGAGGCGAGGAGCAGTGCAACGCAGCTTCACAAACGGTACATCATCCAAGCGTGCCCAAGAGCAATCCACAACAGCTAATCCTTTTCTCTGGATTAAGCTATAATCTTCTCTTGAGACACAAAGCGTCCCAACTGGACTGCAAAAATGGAAAACACCATTAGTAAAATAATTCATATATGAGGGGAACGCAGCAGGCTAAAATGATTCACTATTGCTCATTACACCATCAAAAATGTCAAATGCTCAGTTGATTTTTGGTATATAATTTATTTATTTTTCCTGTATAATATTCCAGGGCACGCAGATGATGATATAAAACTAACACAATGCAACATGACATCATTCTAGAAAATTAATTAGCATCATAGATAAGGTAAGGTACCTCAAAACAATTCCTCCAAAACCATTATTGACACGCAATTCCTGCATGAAGTTGTAAGAATGTTAACGCTAAGCTTCTACAAAAGACTTTTCATCATTTATAGTTGGCACACTTGCCTTTCACTGAAAAAAAAATTGTTACGAGACCTATGCCTCTTTTAAATACTTACTTTTTACCATTGGAAAAAGCCATATCCAAAATATCTGATAAATATTCCACTACACTAGTGATATTTCCATAAAGTAGAGATCCTAGTGCCAATTGATAACCTCATATATGATGAACAATTTACCATCCACATTAAAGATGCAAATTTTATAGACATGGCATTAAAGACCACAAGCCAATTCTGATTTAATAAAACAAATTATTGTTTGAAAAGAAAAAAAAAACCAAGCTAACATAGAAATTTAAATGCGAATGAGTAATTCAAAAGGAAAACGTAGCTACTTACTTTCAAAAACCCAAATCTTGAAAGCTTGCGTCCTGTGCACTTTTTTGCATCACATTGGCCAAAATCCTGAATCAACAAAATAGCACCAAATGATTTCACGTTCAAAGACTAGATTGAAGTTGAGGATGATATTTCAAAATCCATTTCACACGCAGAATAATGCAGAGTACGCCAAAGGTTTGGACTTTATCTAGAAATAAATTAACTAATATCTTTTTCAAAAGATTTATATAACTCAAATCTCAAACTAGAACTGGAAAAGAAGGGCAGAAGAAAACAATCGAAGCCCCTTCTAAACATGAATGTGATA